AGCAGGGGAAGTGGGAGGGGGAGGGGAAAGGAAAGAAGGGAAAAGAAAAAATATGAGAAAAGGAAAAAAATGGAAACAAAGTCTTTGCAAATAAGGAAGGGCGGAGGGGGTGAAGGGAGGGCAGGGGAAGGGGAAAAAAATAAGAACCAAGATACTCATGTAATGGTACAAGATCCTAATGATGAATATAACTGTATTTTATACCTAAAATGTACCAATAAACTTAATGGGAAAAAAAAATAAGTTGGGTCCAAAGACCCTCAGAAAAAAAAAGATCTTGAATGATTGACCTAAATTTGGGACAGTAACAAGTTGTGCTCCTTTCCTTGTTCTTCACTTATTTCTTAAATTCTCTACCCAGTAACCTGGTGAGAGTGACATCTGTGATTGGTTAGTTCAAGTGAACTAAGCTAAGTCCACAATGTAAAGGTCTGGTGGGGCCTTCACCATTGTCAATTACAGGAGCAAGTTAATAAGATGCTGTGGTGTAACCACTGTTGTGATTATTTAGATTCAAACAAGGCAACCATGAAAGATAAAAATAATATGGCCAGTATCATTTGAAGGTCTTGATACAGAATAACTAAACTTTACAACAGCTTTATGAGGCAGTTGCCAGCATTATTCCCAAGAGGAGAAAAAGAAAGCAAGGTATAAAAGTGTTGGATTAATTCTTGCCAAATATCACACAGCCACTAAATGATAAAGTTAGATTTTAACTCAACAAGACTAAGCCCAGAGGTCACTAGCTCCTTCTCTTGCTCTTTGTCAATATTTAGAGGCTGGAATAACGCACCAGTTTTCCTTCTTCCTTTCACTATGGTACCAGAATGAAAAGAAGCTGGTTTTACCAGTTCTCCTAATGGTAATACCTGGCCTGGACGAGCCTTTTCAGAAATGCATGCTCAGGTCAAGAGATAAAAACAGCAGTACTTATACAGAACCAAATGGAGCAGAGTCTACCAACAGAGATGCCACAGTTATGGAGAAAATATTACACTTTCATAAGGGACCAAAATGTCCTCCAGGAATAAATCTGGACTGTTCAAATGGGCCTGAGAAAACAGGCACAGAGGAATATATGCACACAGAAGTTAACAGTTTTCCATACCAACCAACGAGATACTGCTCTAAAAACCATGAACTCGGGCCGGGGATTTAGCTCAGTGGTTTCGGTGCCTGCCTCACAAGCGCAAGGATCCAAGTTCAATCCCCAGTAACAAAAAATAAAAAATAAAATAAAATAAAAAACTCATGAACTCTGCTTTTAGCCTCTACTAACTACTCTCATCGCAGATAAAAATCACTAAAATATACTGTGCCTTAGTCTCTCTACCTATTAAAATGGAAAGACACTGCATTCTAAGATATGAGTTTGTTTTGAGGATACAGTGAAAATTGGCAATGAAATAAAGCATTTAAAAAAATTCACTATGTTCTACAAACCAATTACTACTCATGAATCTACTTAAAAGCCTCTATTGATTATTAGATCCAACATTCTACAGAGCTAATTTCAAACTTGATCCTTAGATTTTAATCACTTCCACATAGTATGTCAATCTCCAAAAAATCCTCCTGCTGTGACCTTCAGGTCTACATTTATTACACTTCAGCAGAATCAAGTTCATTGCTATTCTCAGGCCATAATGAAAATTCAGGCTATTTCTGTTTCCTTCACATGCCCCATAATTACACAATTAGAATTAGGAATTCTACATTATCAAATGCTAGTAGTAGTAATGTTCAGCATTCCATGCAAATTTGCTGAAGTACACTTAATTTGATTGCTAAAAATGTATGATATTTCAAGGGAGGATTTGCATTATGAAAATCATTGAAAACAACTTTTATCAAAAGTTGAGACTAAAAATCCTTTGCAGAACTGTCAAACAGAGAATGGGTACTCACATTTCCTTTCACCACATAATTAGAATCATTCTTGATATCTCTGGCTAGACCAAAATCACAAATCTTTGTGATTCGACCATGAGTAAGGAGGATATTTCTGGCTGCCAAGTCTCTGTGAATACA